GCGACAGAGTGGCCTGGGTCCAAGCACACGCGTCCTCGCCTCGCGCCAGCCCGCAAAAGCCGAACGTCGCCGTTCCACCCGCGAGAGAGAAAGTTCAATCGCCAGCTCGTCCTTCGGCCGAGTCGTCACCGCGACACAACGACGAGCAGGGTTACCATCGCTCGCAGTATCCCCCCGTCCCTTCTTCTCGTTGCGTGGAAGTTCGATCACCGCGGCAACCGACGGGACGGCAAGAACTACCTCGACCGGAAGCGATGCAGTACGTCCAGAGAGTCTGCGAACCGACCGCGAGCACGTACGGAGCACACGTGCAGCAACGGGGAACGTACAATGGCCCAACGGCGATCGCCGGGCCATTGTCGCCCTCGAAGCAGCAGACCAGGCAACATCTGGAGGCGTTCTACTGGCAGCAAAAGGCGCTGGAGGCGCGCAGAAAGTCCCTGGCTCCGACCCCGGCAACGAACGCCGGCCCCAGCCAGGTGGCACGGAAGATTGACTTACCCGAGGTCAGGGAAGCGATGTACTGGCAGCAGCTGAAAAAGCTCGACGAGGAGCAACAGAGGCGTATCTACGAGCAAAACGCGACAGAGGAGCAGCAGCAGCAGCAGCAGCAGCAGCAGCAGCAGCAGCAGCAGCAGCCTTCCCATTGCAGGAAGAACGTCGCGAACCTCGGGCAAACGTTGCTTCAAAGTTCAATCCCTTCGAGGCTCGCCCACGCAGATCCAGGAGTCGGCTCGTGGATCGCTGGCAACCCCGTTGTCGGTCAGCAACAACCTCGTCGTTGCCCGACAAAGTCGAACCCCGCGGGAAAACCGCCGCTGATGCAGAGCCAAAAGGGCCAGAATCAGCCGGTGTTGATCGTCCGACCTCAACAGGCGATTCGCGAGCGTCGTGACTTGGCCGCCCCGTGCTCCTCGAAACCCCGGCTCGAACCATCTGTCGTTCGACAAGAGGAGGCTCAGCGAAGCAAGAGCGCCTCCCCGCATTTCCGTCGTGGTGAGCTTGCCCCGCAAAGGCAAGCCGCACTTGCGACGAGAAAGTGCGACGTTTCCTCGGCCTACGAGGAGGAGGCGAACAACGACGTTGACGGAAAGACGTCGTCGCCGTCGCCGTCGCCGTTGATGGCTGCTCCGCCTCCGCCGATCTTCAAGAGGGGCAGCCTGATCGGCGGAGAGCAGCCTGCCGCCGTGCAGCAGGAGTACGCGAGCGCCGGTGGCGCGAAGAGGGTCAGCTTCTCGAATCAGTCGGCCGTCGCTGGCCAGGAGCTGATCAGCGGCAATTGGCCGACGAAGCACGGCACCGCGCCGGAACCACCGACCAGGCGGCACAGGAGCGAGGACAGCGTTTCCGACACGGACTCGGTGTTTTCTCACCAAGAGCGGAGTTGTCACGCGATTCACGCGGAGAATGGTACGGAGTACGACGCCGACAGGCCTTTGCCGCCTTTGCCCAAGGACGTTGCGGCCATTAACGAACCGACGAGCAGACTGGCCTACGGCGAGGTTCGTTGGAACGATCCTGGAAGGGCCGTTGGTCCGCAGCTGACGATTCGACGGAACGGTGAGTGCCTTTTTTTCTCTTTTTAACGTAGCATACAAGGTAAGAGTTCAATCGCGATCCAGACCGAGAACGACCATTTCGTCAACTATTTCGTCAGCGTGCGTATTATTTATATACCTGTTCGTTATGTACCTCCATTGAAAAAAAATTTAACAGTAAAGTGTGGTACAACTCGAAATTCGTAATCCTACGTCACGTTTCTCGCATTCGTAATGCTGCATTACGTTTTCTACGCGCTACGCGTTTGCGTCTTTTCCCTTGGTTAATTTATTACCACACTTTTCAGTTTGAGGTAACGTTAAATGTAAAGAATCACGTTCGAATAATACACGAAGATGTAATTCGCGTACTTACAACGATCCAACGCGCGGTTTCCCGAGCGCCATCTAAGCAGACATCTTCAGTTTGATTCGGGCAACGTGAAGTAAGCCGCCCCATAGGCGTCTCTCGTTTGCAGGGGATCGAAGTAAGTGAGTTAGGCGCCCATGGGCGCCGACAGTAGCCAAAGGATCAACGATTCTTCTCAATGTCGTGTGAGAACAAGCAGAGTTCGTAGTCTCGGTCTTTTCACCTGGTGGCGAGCCGAGCAATTCGTCGTTAGAAGCAGAGCGGTTTACATCGTAATGCGATTTCTTAGCTTTCCAGTTTCTCGACGTTTCCGCGCGTCAAAGCGCGACCGCGTTTTTCGGCCAGGTGGAAATTTTATCCGGGCAAGGTGGAAAACCGCGTATGACCGTGCATTTCAATGAACCTCTCGAGGCAAACCGAGAGAGAAGCGTCGCCCGGCACGTTCTCTTTTACACGGCGGACAAATCCTCGCTACTCTGCTCCTCTGCACGCTTCTCGCTCGGTCTTTTCCTCCGCGTAGAGAAACGAAAAGTACATATATACAGATGATGATACATCTTGCGACTGAAGTGAAAATTTCACTAGCCTGAAAGTCTCTGTTCGAGCCTGCAGTTGTTGAGGATTGTTTGTCGGTGGATTTTTGGTTCTATCTGTTGTCGATAGCCGCTCGCGTGCATCAGTCGATCAAACAGGGACAGAAACTGAGGGAAAGTCAGACAGAGTAGTATGCGCTGTTTTTTTCTTTTTTTCTTCTTTAAAGTTCATTGTAAAATTTAAATAAACATCGCGTAAACAGAATGTATTGTTACTTTTTTTATTGTCACGTCGATGGAGTTAAATTCTACCTTTCTAATTTTATTTTCATTGGCTTAAATTTTGCTTCAGTCGGTGCGTTGTTCCACCCATGAGGTGGGATTCTTACGAACGTTTGAACTGAAATTGGCTTCTGAAATAAATTATTTACTATTCACAGGCCTTAAAAAAAAAAAAAAAAAAAAAA